CAGGAAAACTAGAATACAACAATAAATATCATACGAAAATACAGTGCAAAGTCGCTGTTTTAATCCAAAAACATGGTCAAAGTTTTTTTTTCCTCATTACGCACTGTGTGCTGCAGGATTTTTTTTATACTGCGCACACTGACCACACAGACCCATTCTTTCATATGTAGGCCTACCAGCTTTCTCTCACTAGATTTGAGGGCACTAGAATTTAGGCGTACTAGTACGTCCAAAACCCTGAAAGGGTTACAGGAGGGGTTTGGGATATTGGCAGTTTGGTGGGATGTGTAATAGGACGGTATATATCTAACTGAGGCCCTGATGTAATTATTTCAGGCCACTTTTTATACTTCTAAACTGTTGTATCTGGGCACCTCTGCAAAAACAGTGATTACGTATGAGTGAGGTGAAAGTGCTGAATGATGATGAGAAAGTATTTTTGTTTTGGGGATTTTCTTTCTTTTTGGGTCACCCTGCCTAGGTGGGAGGCAGCCGACTTGTTGAAAAAAAAATTATTTTAAGTTAATGTGAAAAAAAAAGAATAATAAAGATATCCATCATAGAAGCTGAGACATTGTGTAGTTTTAAAAATAGGTTAGATAAATATATGAGTGGATGTGGGTGGGTGAGAGTTGGACCTGACTAGCTTGTGCTAGTTGGTCAAATGCCGTGCTCTTTCCATAACTGAATGTAACCTGACCTGACTTGGTTAGGGTGTTGGCTTAAGCCGGTAGGAGAATTGGACCTGCCTCACATGGGCCAGTAGGCCTGCTGCAGTGTTCCTTCTTTCTTATGTTCTTAAAACCCTAACTGTGAAATCCAAAAGTATCCCAGAGATGGAATACAGTACTTAATTTCTATGTACAGTGGACCCTCGACTAACGATGGCATTGTCTAATGATAAACTCGCCTAACGATGCGTTTGAGTGTAAAAATTTTGACCTGACCAACGATGAAAAACTCAACTAACAACATTTGTCCCGAATGCATACATGCGTCCGTTTGGACTGAGTGCGCCTCAGCTGCCCTGCCTTCAGTTAGTGCCTTTGTTTACAAGCTAGGGCGGTCGGTTCCACGCATACATTTGATACATTCTGTATTAGTCCAGTGTTTTTAGTCCTTGCAACTGCTAAATAAGCCACCATGGGCCCAAAGAAAGCTTCTAGTGCCAACCCTGTAGTAAAACGGGTGAGAATTACAATCAAATTGAAGAAGGAGATAATTACAAAGTATGAAACTGGTGTGTGTGCCTCCGAACTGGCCAGGTTGTATAATAAACCCAATCAACCATTGCTACTATCTTGGCCAACAGAAAGGCAATCAAGGAAGCTGTTGTTGCGAAAGGTGCAAGTATGTTTTTGAAACAGAGATCGCAAATACTCAAAGATGTTGAGAGACTGTTGTTGTTGTGGATAAACGAAAAACAAATACACCTACCATCCGACTTACGACCTGCTCGACATACGTCCACTCGACTTACTACCGTGCATCTGGCAGCTGGGCTGGGCCGGCTGATGCACACCACTGTACAATATTTGACAATACTCGCGGCGGCAATGCGTCATGCAGGCAGCATCAGTTTGAGTAATCCTGTCCCATCAGCAGCATCATACTGTATTAACTGTACTAACTGGACAGTAAATTTCACCATGGCCCCAAGATGAAGTCTGTGGCAAGAAAGGTTCTTACTCTTGAACTCTCTATTTGTTTTCACTGTTGCACATAAACCTGTCTATCTGTCTGCCTATATATCTATGTATCTGTGTGTCTGTTTATCTGTCTGTCTACCTGTGTGTCTGTCTTTATGTCTACCTGTGTGTGTCTTTCTGTCTACCTGTGTCTGTCTACTTGTGTCTTTCTGTCTACCTGTGTGTGTCTTTCTGTCTACCTGTGTGTCTGTCTGTCTACCTGTGTGTGTCTGTCTACCTGAGTGTCTGTCTGTCTATCTGTGTCTGTCTACCTGTGTCTGTCTGTCTTTCTGTCTGCTTGTCTGTCTCAGAGCCACTCATTAACAGTGCAATTGGTCTTGAAGATGCCATATTAATAATGATAATAACACAATAATAATCACTGAGGCGCATTAAATGTGTATAAAACGTTGATATAGACATTTTGCTTAATCCATCTATGATTTCTTTTTCAAAATTATATAATAAACATGCTACATAACATATAAATATACAAATTAACAAATATGAGATGTTTTTCTGGTCGGCTTGACAGAGTGAACAGGAATCATTCGTGTCCGGGCTGGTAACAACAACAACAACATTTGTTTAAATAACTCGCCAACCTTCTACACACTCATTCGTTTATTCATTTAATCTTGTTTACTCACCTCTCACTCTACATTAAGACTACAGATATTTTAAGGTAAGTAATGAGTGGACACGATTATTATATAATAGTTTAATAATAATAATATTAATATTAGTACATATGTATTATTGTAATAATAATAATAATAATTATTATTATTATTAATTTAGGGCACTGGAGCACAGATCCACTGTATAGCACTTTGTCTGGATTATTTGGGTTATCCTAGGTAATTTATACTATGTATGATAACTTTACTTACGTGTACCTGTGAGAGAGATACAGAGAGAGATACAGAGAGAGAGAGAGAGAGAGAGAGAGAGAGAGAGAGAGAGAGAGAGAGAGAGAGAGAGACAGCCACATTCAGTCAGCCGATCACCCACCTGGCCAGCCAGCCAGATACGTATTACACGTGTTCCAGAGTTGTTTCTCTTTACTTAGGGTATAGGTTATACAACATTCTGGCAGGATGACACTACCAGTGGTATTCTCCCATTCCGCTGTGTCGACAATACATAAAGATAACAGTAACGTATGATACTGTATGCGATGTAAAATTTACAATACAGTTCACTACCATGTATACATTATATACAGTAAATAAATAATTAAAATGTAACAATAGAAGTAAATTATGGTAAAAAAAAATGAAATAATGATTGTACATTACATTACAGTACTATGTAGGTAGTTTATATAGGAAAAGTTTGACATTATGCCCTACCCAGTATGTCGGCAATTTTCAAAGGTTCGACTTGCGTCCATTTTGACTTACGACCGGTTGGTCGGAACCAAGCTTGGTCGTAAGTCGGATGGTAGGTGTATCAGGAAATAGTATTTCTCAATCAATAATATGTGAAAAGGCAAGGCAGTTGCATGACAATTTAATTAAAAAAAATGCCTGCAACTAGTGATGTTATTGAATTTAAGGCCAGCAAAGGTTGGTTTGAGAAATTTAAGAATCGTAGTGGCATACAGTGTGGTAAGGCATGGTGAGGCTGCCAGTTCGGACAAAAAAGTGGCTGAAAAATACGTCCAGGAATTCAAGGAGTACATAGACAATGAAAAATTAAAACCCCAACAACTGTTTGTGATGAAACTGGTCTGTTTTGGAAGAAAATGCCAAACAGGAGGAAAAAGCACTGCCAGGACACAAGCCTATGAAAGACAGGGTCTCTCTCATGTTTTGTAGCAATGCTAGTAGGGATTGCAAAGTGAAGCCTCTACTCGTGTATCACTGTAACTCCCAGTGTTCAAGGAAAACAATGTCGTCAAGGCTAATTTGTGTATAATGTGGAGGGCAAACAGTAAGGCATGGATCACAAGGGACATTTTCTATGATTGGTTTTATCATGTGTTTGGCCCCACTGTGAAAAATTACCTACTGGAAAATAAATTGGACCTCAAGTGCCTCCTGGTATTAGACAATGCTCCTGCTCATCCTTCGGACTTCCCAGAGCGAATTGCGGGGAACTGGAGTTTTATCAAAGCCAAGTTCTTGCCTCCTAATACCACTCCTCTCCTCCAGCCCATGGACCAGCAGGTCATTTCAAATTTCAAAAATCTGTACACCACAGCAGTGTTTCAAAAGTGCTTTGAAGTGACCTCAGACACTCAACTGACCCTAAGAGACTTTTGGAAAGATCACTTTAGCATCCTCAATTGCATAAACCTTATAGGTAAGGCTTGGGAGGGGGTGACTAACAGGACATTCAACTCTGCTTGGAGGAAACTGAGGCCACAATGTGTACAAGAGGGATTTTGAAGGGTTTGGGGCTAACCCTGAGGAGCCTATGCCAATTGTGGAATCTATTGTGACATTGGGGAAGTCCATGGGGTTGGAGGTTAGTGGGGAGGATGTGGAAGAGTTGATGGAGAACGACGATGAAGAACTAACCACTGATGAGCTGCAAGAGCATCTGCAACAGCAAGAGGCCACAACTGAAGAAATTGCTTCAGAGGGAAGAGAGAGATGGATGAAGTTGCCTTCTTCAACGATTAAGGACATTTGTACAATGTGGACAAAGGTGCTAACCTTTATTGATGAAAATCATCCTGACACATGCTGGTGACTTTTACAATGACAATGTTGTGGCCCATTTTAGGAAAATCTTAAAGGAACGTGAGGTACAGAGCTCTATGGACAAATTTTTGGTGCAACAGTGACTGTCAAGTTGTTCCCAGTGGCATTAAAAGAAGAAGGGAAGTAACCCCAGAAAAGGACTTGGTACCTAAAGTCCTTATGGAAGGGGATTCCTCTTCCAAATAATAATACACCTCTATCTCCCCTCCTCCTATCTCATCACTCACCAAGAAATCTTCAATAAAGGTAAGTGTCATTTATTCTTCATTTAGTATTTATTGTGCATATATCCTTGTTTTTCTGTGTAGGAAAATGTATATTTCATGTGATTTTTTTTTTTCATACTTTTGGGTGTCTGGAACAGATTAATTGGATTTCCATTATTGTTTATGGGGAAAATTAAATCGGCTAACGATAAATTCGGCTAAGGACAAGTTCTCTGGAACGGATTAATATTGTTGGTCGAGGGTCCACTACTCTAGTACATCTTCACATGACTGTGCTTAATTACAGACATTCACAACACAGTGTAAATAATATTTAAGATATCTTTAAAATGATACAAGATAGCAGATAAAAATATTGGAGAGGCACTCACCGTCATCATCCTGTCCACCCCTTCGGTTACGTGCTGAACGACGGAGAGGAAGGCTTTCCCACCTGCTGCTTCGACGACGCTTCACTCCAACAACATCAGAATCGTCACTGTCCATTTCTGTGTCTATGGATGATGATGACTCTGCAGACTCTTCTGAATCCTCTTCGTCCTCTTCGCTATTGATTGCAAAGGTAAAGGTGAATGTGAGGACAGAAGTAATGCTAAGGTTTAATTTTACTACAAACTGGAGTAACCTTATTTGAGTTTTAAAGTGTTTTTGAATGTCTCCGATTGTTGGGTGTGTATTATTATCATTGTTACATTCATGGGGATGGGCTACATGCACAGAGATCAAACACTTCCTGGTAAATTAGAGGCAATCAGGTTTGATCTAAGGAAGGGAAGCACTGCTGCAATTACTGCATTATTATATTAAAAGCTTGGGGTGGGGATACTGCAGTTTGAAGGGGCATCTGAGCTGTAGTATTAGTGTGTCTCTGGCAAGACAGTGATGGAGTGAGTGATGGTAAAAGTTTTCTTCTTTTTTCGGGTCATCATACCTTGGTGGGAGATGGTCAATATGTAAAAAAAAAAAAAAAAAAAAAAAAGTTAAATTTAAGTAGCTCATGCAAGAATGTACTCATCTCGTGAAGAGCCTATCCTTGTCTATCTTATTTACACCTAGATTATAAGTGTAGACAAGAATTGGACCTGCCTCAAATGGGCCAGTAGGCCTGCTGCAGTGTTCTTTCTTTATGTTCTTATTATTCTGTATGTAGTGATGGTGTCTCCTGTTCATCATTCTTCGACAGTAATTATATCTAGCTTGCATGTTCTTTCCCTATTGCTTATTACCCTCTGCTAAGGCACAACCCTAGATGCAATCTTTGGCTCAAATTTTGCCTTGTTTCACTATATGAGCTTTCTTCACTGGTACTGCATACTGAAGTGTAGATTGCACAAAAAAAAAAAAAAAAAAAAAAAAAAAAAAAAAAGAGGCAAAATGCATCTTGAAAAAGTTTTCTGATTATCATTCCAGTATTGGCTGCTGATGTAATTTTGTTTGTTGGTACTATGGAGAGCAGGATTCACATAATGGTTATTTGTTGCTATTATTTCTTGCCCAAGTTTGAGGTTTTCCTTTCATATGATATACAGTACTCTGTCTCTAATCACTTATCACTATCTGCTAGTTTCATTATTTTTATTGAGATTTAACTCCAGCAACCATTTGGTCTGCCATTAGAGTCTCTATAAAAATTCTCAAGCAGCCTTCTACTCTCCTGCTGATTTATTCATACTTTTGCATCATTCATAAACAAAAAATATTTGGTTTCTTGTTTACCCTTTCACTGTCCAGACCCCCAAAATTAATACTGCCCTTAGCATCCACTTTACAAAAATCTCTTCTGAAATGGTAAAAAAATAATTTTCTGAAGGTAGTGATACCAAAAGTATGAAATTTGATGGAAAACTTATAGAATTACACAGGCAAAGAATTAGCAGTCTCAGTGCAATTTATGTATCGGTGATTTTGCCAACTTTGAGTCCTACTTTAAGACAATTTCATGGCTCCACTCAATTCTTAGCTATTTTGCTAGTATGCCTTTTGTTTTATCAACTGAGTACAAGAAGCCAGCCATTCAATTATTTTTAACTATCCTATAAAGTGCAAAGAAGTCAGTAATTTGGCTAATTTTACAAAAATAAAAAAATGCCAATTTAAAAATAGTCAAAAAATTAAAAAAAATAAAGATTCTTGGCACTAAAACAACATTTCCTCTGCTCATTAATTACGTCCCCATGGCTTCTCCTATATTACACTAGCCTTCCTTTTTGAATACTTAAATCACACAAAAATAAGAGAGATTTCTCAGATAATGAAATATAAACAGGAATGATTGATTGTGGTTTATGGTGTCCCAATAACTGAACGAGATCCATAAAACAAATGGGTGGGCATACCTGGCCTCAGGAATGTTGGCAAAAATTAATACTTCCACTAATTTGAGCTCAATTTCAAGCTACGTTTGGTCCTGAAACCAATCAAAAGCATCTGTATTTTATTAATATGTCTTCCATTTTATCAAATGATGCCAAGAAACAATCTGAAAAACACTTCAAAGATGCTATTTTAACCCTTTGAGGGTCCAAGAATTTTCAAAAAAGTTTTTTGTTATTTTTTTCTTAAGAAATGGTAGAGAATGTTTTTCTGAAGGTAATAAAACAAAAGGTACGAAATTTGATGGAAAATTGACAAAATAACACTCATGAATTTTACTGCATCAGCGCTATTTACACATCGGTAATTTTGCCCACTTTGACTACTATTTTAGGACAATTACATTATTTCAGTTGACCAAATTCTTAGCTATTTTGCTAGTATGTGTTCCATTTTATCTATTGAGCACAGGAAATTGCCCAATCAACTATTTCAACTACCCAATAAATTGGAAATTGGTAATGTTGCCAATTTCACACAAATTTCAAAATACACTATTCCAATTTCAAAATAGGGTCCAGTATAAACAATGCAGGCATTCCTGGCACTAAAATAGCATTTCCTCTGTTTATTAGATATGTTTTCAGGGTTCACAGATGAATTCTGTTTTGATTTCTTATTTACATAAAGAATTTTTATTCACACCAAAAAATAGAAGATTTACTGTTATGCAATATTGTAATAATTGTATAAATCATGTGAGTACATTCATGAACATATATTAGACCCACCAGTTGATGTGTATTGGACACATAATGTCATTTGTTTACTCTCGAACATCAGCAAAAAATTAACATTTCCGCTACTTTGAGCTCAACTTCAAGCTATTTTTTGTACTAAAACCAAAAAATCATCTCTATTTCTATAATATATCTTCCATTTTATCAAATGAGACCAAGAAACTGCGAATACAACCGTAAAACCACATGAAAATACACCACAAAGTCGGTGTTTTAATCCAAAAACACGATAGCAGTTTTTCTTCTCATTATGCACTGTGTGCTGCAGGATTTGTTTCATATGGTGCCCACTTACCACACAGATCCATTCTTTCATATCTAAGTACAAATTTACCATTCACAGCTTATCTGAGTGAGCCGAGCTCATGGCGTAGAACTATGACTTGGACCCTGTGGACAAGGCGTAGATCTATGGCTTGGACCCTCAAAGGGTTAAAAGACCCTCACTGACATTTACACCTGGCATTTCAATTATTATTAGTATTCTTATTATTATTATAATCATGGGGGGGAGTGCTAAACCTGTAGGATTATACAGCGCACGTGAAGGGGGGGGATAGAAGGTATTCAGGCTCAATTCAGGGAACCGGAGCACAGATACAAATCCCTACATCAAGAGCCCCTCACCAGCATCAAGGAAACTCCTTTGAGGGGCTGGTATTTCAAACCTTTCCTAACACACCTTAAAAAAAAATATTACCTTTACCTTTCAGATCCCTTAAAATAATTTTCTCAATTGACTCAAAATTTCCTTAGCAATCACTTAATTCTTAGAATCTCCCTCTACCACTCTCCTACATTCCTCTCAATGCCAGGTACATTAATTATTATTATCCACTACTCACACTTATGCACACTGTTTTTAAATTTAAACATTCAAATCTCCTCGCTCTCTAATTTTCAGCGCTAGGACACAAACGTACATGTCTACATAACATTCACACTTTGCTTTTAACATCCAAAATACATCCACTCACATCAAACCAACCCAACCTGAAGATTTCCTCAGTTTTCTTTCTTAGCAATTACAATCAGGAAAGGGGGGAACAAAACCCTTGTTTCAGTGATTTCTAACCTTCCTCAGGATCACTGAGAACATTACAGGATTAAAAACTATTAACTCTTAAACCGGGCACAATGTACTGTATATATAAGCACATTGGGCAACTGGGCATGACGTATATACAGTACTGCATGTGAAAATATCGTAGCGCTTCTAATATTCCTCGACTCACCATTTTAGGACTTCACATAACTTGTTGGGTCATGTGTGACTTAGTCCCTTCTAGAAAAAATATCCTGGCCCACGCAGTGCCTCTCCACCCATGTTTCATGTCGTACCATACCCTGAAACACATCTAGTATAATAAAAAACTCTTTGTAAATAGTTTACAAACTTGGGTTTAGTGAGCATTTTTTCTTTTTTACAAAAATAAATTTGTATAAAAATCTTAGTACAATGTTCGATTTCATCACCATTACAAGGTTTTAATTCGTCAAATTTAAACATACCATAAAAAAGTTTTACAATATATTTCAGTTAGCTATTTGCAGTTATATTATGCTTTTGATACACTACACACCTATAAGAATAATAAAAAAAAAGTGCCCAGTTTAAGAGTTAATCTAAGTCTTCTAAAAGCATGTACAATAAATAGCTAATAAGATTTATATCTTAAATGTTCATGAGATAGAAAGGAAAGACCAGCAAGCCTGCCAAAGTGAAAACATTCAACAGGCTTTCATTTTTCACTCTTATGACAAAACATGAGTACCTTCCTGCATGAGCATTGTCTATCAACATACCACTGCACCTATAAATATTTATAAAATTTCCTACGATTTTTACTTCTTGGTGTTCAGCCCACATGGCAGTATGATACTGACAGCTACCAGCAAATTTAAAAAATCCTAAGCTTAGTTTTTCTATGATAATGTAATAATATTTTTTTTTTTCAAAACACATTTCCATTATAAATTTAATGTACATTACTGGATCCATGAACACTTTGTTAATATGATTTTCCTAAAAACTGATAAATTACCTTGTATTCATAAAGTCTTCATCACTGGCATCATCATCGTCTTCAGCATCCAGGTCAGTAAGTCGTCTTCTCTTTTTTATAGTAACAGTGACAACCTTTCGTTCTCGCTTTCTAGACAGTTTAACATCATCGTCTGATTCAGATTCTCCTTCCATCTGTTATGAGAGAAATTTAAGGATATAAATAAATTTACCCATCAGCCTGACATTCTGATAAATAATTAAATACTACATAAAGGACATTGGCTGTTTGGAGTGACATCTAAGCTGACATATCCAAGCACCTCTGCAAAAACAGTGATTATGTGTGAATGATGGTATAAGTGTTTCTTTCTTTTCTGGGTCACCCTGCCTCATTGGGAGACAGCCAATGTGTTGAGAAAAAAAAAAAAAGTACCCAGGTATCATTATACTATGATGACCTACTAATGTGTAACTGATACATGCCTACATGTGACTACAGGGGTAGAGTCCTAGCCTCAGGAACCCTATCGTACCTGCTTTTAACCCTTTCAGTGGCCATTATGTAGACCTATGTCATTGAAGTCAGAGTCCCCCATGCAGATCTACATTTTTGAACAAAGCTCCCTCAGATAAGCCATGAGCAATAAATATTGATCTAGATATGAGAGAATTGGTCTGTGTAATGAGCATGCACTCTCAAAACTTACTTCCTTCCTTCAACACACCGGCCGTATCCCACTGAGGCGGGGTGACACAAAAGGAAAAACAAAAGTTTCTCCTTAAAAATTTAGTAATATATACAGGAGAAGGGGTTACTAGCCCCTTGCTCCCGGTATTTCAGTCGCCTCTTACGACACGCATGGCTTACGGAGGAAGAATTCTGTTCCACTTTCCCATGGAGATAAGAGGAAATAAACAAGAACAAGAACTAGAAAGAAAATAGCAGAAAACCCAGAGGGGTGTGTATATATATATGCTTGTACATGTATGTGTAGTGTGACCTAAGTAGAAGTAGCAAAATGTACCTGAAATCTTGCATGTTTATGAGACAGACAAAAGACACCAGCAATCCTACCATCATGTAAAACAATTACAAGCTTTTGTTTTACACTCACTTGGCAGAACGGTAGTACCTCCCTGGGTGGTTGCTGTCTACCAACCTACTACCTAGGACTCTCAAAACTTATCATAGGTATATCAAAGAATAAAGAAAAATCTTGTCCCATGTGTTAAGTTTAAAATAGCCACTTGGTGTTTTTTAGGATGATTTATTGACTTTCTTGGTATCATCATTTGATAGAATGGAAGATCTACTGCTAAAATAAAAAATGATTTTGGTTGGTTTCAGAACCAGTAGTAGTTTGAAACTGGGCTTAATGTAATGGAAATATTTTATTATCTATTTTCCTGAGGACAAGTAATGCCTTCCTACACTCCATGGTCTGTTTTATAGATTTTTAATAGGTCTGATTAAATTTTTGGGATGTCATAAACCAATCATTCCTAGTTATAATTTATTATCCAAGAAATAGGGTAAAAATTTGATTTTTTTCTATTACGAATTCAAAATGGAAGACAAGTGTAATGTAGCAGAGGCCTAGGGACACGATTAATGAACAAAAGAAATTTTTTTAGTGCCTGGAATGTCTAGTGTTTATTTTGGACTATAATTTGTAATTTTTTAAATTTTGTGTAAAACTGGCCAAATTACTGACTTCCATGCACTTTATAGGGTTGTTCTTATAGGTGGTTTCTTGCACTCAATCAATAAAATGACATACTATGGCATACTAGCAAAATAGCTAGCAAAATCAACAATGCACAAATTGCACAAAGCCAGCTAACTTTGTACCTGCATAATTCTATAAGTTTTTCCATCAAATTTCATACTTTTAGTGTCATTACCCTCATAAAAAAATTCTCTAACCTTTCAGAAGAAATCTTTTCTTTTTATGTGGACAGTGAGAGCAACATAACCCTTTCACTGTCCAGACCACCAAAATTAATATTTCTCACAGTGTCTACAGAAAAAAAAATCTGAAATGGCATGGCAGAGAACTTTTTTCTGAAGGTAATGACACCAAAAGTACAAAATTTGATGGAAAACCCATGGAATTATGCAGGGCCAAAGCTGGCAGTCTGGGCACAATTTATGCATCAAAAATTTCGCCAAGATTGAGTCCTATTTTATGCCAATTCCATTGCTCCATTCGACCAAATTTTTAGATATTTTGCTAGTATACATTCTGTTCTATCAACTGAGCACAAGAAATCGTTAGTTCAATTATCAAAACCATCCCATAAAATGACAGAAGTCAGTAATATGACCAATTTTAAACAAACTTAAAAAGATTCCAATCTGAAACTAGAGTAAAATATAAATTATGCAGACATTCAAGGCACTAAAACATTTCCTCTGTTCAAAAGTCATGTTCCCAGGCCTCTCCTATATTACACTTACCTTCCATTTTGAATTCATAATCACACAAAAAAATCGAAGATTTACCTTCCTATTTCTCGGTCAATAAAATATAACCAGGAGCGATTGGTTATGGTTTACGGTGTCCCCAACAATTAAATCAGACTTATAAAAACCCATAAAACAGACCCCCAGATTGCAGAGGGTCCTTACCTGTCATTAGGATAATCTGCAAAAATTTAAGCCTAATTTCAAGCTACTGTCAGTCCTAAAATCAAATAAAATCATCTGTATTTCAATAGTATATCTTCAATTCTATCATATGATACTAAAAAACAACTAATACCATAAAAACCATCCTAGAAAACACCCAAAATCATTATTTTAAACCAAACACAAGGTTAAAGTTTTGTTTTTCTCATCATACATGAGTTTTTTTTTTTTTTTAACAAGTCGGCCGTCTCCCACCGAGGCAGGGTGACCCAAAAAGAAAATACTTTCATCATCATTCAACACTTTCACCTCACTCACATATAATCACTGTTTTTGCAGAGGTGCTCAGAATACAACAGTTTAGAAGCATACACGTATAAAGATACACAACACATCCCTCCAAACTGCCAATATCCCAAACCCCTCCTTTAACCCTTTCAGGGTTTTCGACATACTAGTACGGCTTATGCACCAGGGTTATTGATGTACTAGTACGCCTAAATTCTAGCGCCCTCAAATCTAGAAAAAGAAAGCTGGTAGGCCTACATATGAAAGAATGGGTCTATGTGGTCAGTGTGTGCAGTATAAAAAAAATCCTGCAGCACAAGGTGCGTAATGGGGGGAAAAAACTTTGACCATGTTTTTGGATTAAAACAGCGATTTTGCACTGTATTTTCGTATGGTATTTATTGTTGTATTCTAGTTTTCCTGGTCTCATTTTATAGAATGGAAAACATATTACAGAAATTGAGATGATTTTGACTGGTTTCACAATGAAAAGTACCTTGAAACTGAGCTCAAAGTAGCAGAAATGTTCGATTTTTACCAAAGTTCAAAAGTAAACAAATCATGCCAAGCGTCCAATACACGTCAACTGGTGAGTCTAATATTCTTTCACAAGTGCTCTGATATTATTTATACCATTTCTACACTAATGCAGTAGTCTGCATAACAGTAAATCTTCTATTTTCTTGTAAGAATAAAAATTCAAACTGGAAAGTAAAAGAAATATAAGAGGGGCCTGGGGACGTGACTAACGAACAGAGAACTTCTTATTTTAGTGCCAGGAATGTCTTTCTTGTTTATTCTGGACCCTATTTGGAAATTGGCATCTTCTGAAATTTGTGCGAAATTGGCAAAATTGTCAATTTCTAACCACTTTATTGGATAGTTGAAATTGGTAAATGGGTGGTTTCTTGTGCTCATTCGATAGAAAAAATGGAGTTCTAGCGAAATAAATATGATTTTTGTCGACTAGTACACAGGAATTGGTCAAAAACAGGGCTCAAAGTGGGCAGAATCGCCGATGTTTACGCATCGGCGAGACAGCTAACTTTGTGAGAAAATAATTCCATAAGTTTTCCATCAAATTTCATACTTTTGGTGTCATACGACCGGGAAAAGATTCTCTATCATTTCATAAGAAAAAAATTTTTTTTTTCCCCGAAAAATTTTCGACCCTGAGAACAAGTATAGGAGAGGGCCTCTCGACCCTGAAAGGGTTAAAGTGCAGGCATTGTACTTCCCATTTATAGGACTCAAGTCCAGCTATATAAAAATAACCAGTTTCCCTGTATTTTTTTTTTTTTTTCAACAAGTCGGCCGTCTCCCACCGAGGCAGGGTGACCCAAAAAAGAAAGAAAATCCCCAAAAAGAAAATGCTTTCATCATTCAACACTTTCACCACACTCACACATAATCACTGTTTTTGCAGAGGTGCTCAGAATACAACAGTTTAGAAGCATATACATATAAAGATACACAACATATCCCTCCAAACTGCCAATATCCCAAACTCCTCCTTTAAAGTGCAGGTATTGTACTTCCCATTTCCAGGACTCAAGTCCGACTATATGAAAATAACCGGTTTCCCTGAATCCCTTCACTAAATATTACCCTGCTCACACTCCAACAGATCGTCAGGTCCCAAGTACCATTCGTCTCCATTCACTCCTATCTAACACGCTCACGCACGCTTGCTGGAAGTCCAAGCCCCTTGCCCACAAAACCTCCTTTACCCCCTCTCTCCAACCCTTTCGAGGACGACCCCTACCCCGCCTTCCTTCCCCTATAGATTTATATGCTTTCCATGTCATTCTACTTTGATCCATTCTCTCTAAATGACCAAACCACCTCAACAACCCCTCTTCTGCCCTCTGACTAATACTTTTATTAACTCCACACCTTTTCCTAATTTCCACACTCCGAATTTTCTGCATAATATTTACACCACACATTGCCCTTAGACAGGACATGTCCACTGCCTCCAACCGTTTCCTCGCTGCTGCATTTACCACCCAAGCTTCACACCCATATAAGAGTGTTGGTACTACTATACTTTCATACATTCCCTTCTTTGCCTCCATAGATAACGTTTTTTGACTCCACATATACCTCAATGCACCACTCACCTTTTTTGCCTCATCAATTCTATGATTAACCTCATCCTTCATAAATCCATCCACCGACACGTCAACTCCCAAGTATCTGAAAACATTCACTTCTCCCATACTCCTCCTCCCCAATTTGATATCCAATTTTTCTTTATCTAAATCATTTG